GTGCGATTTTTTTATCAATTAATAAATTAACTATAAATGGCCTTTAGCCACCAAAGAAGCAACCAAAAATTTGTTGAAGAGTGTGCTTAAAAATTAATGTAACAATAGATATGGCTAAGCATTATTTGTGGTGATTTTAAATCAAAATTTTTTTGTGTGTGTTGAATTTTGTGTCTTGCACAAAATTATCAAAAATGACTACTCAAAACTTGATGTTTAAAAATTATATCGTGTTTTTGTTAAATTTGTATGAATGTTTGTGCAAAAATAATTCGATATAATTCAGTGTAATCTGCAGCCTTAACGTTAATCAGGAATTCCCATGTCATTTATTATGAATTATCTATTTTATGATATGAATTATTCGCGGATATTCCTCGTCTATTCAGAATTATGCGTTGTGCTTCCTAGCCCATAGTTTGCTGCAGCGCGCAAATTACATAAATCCGTCGTCCTGCTGAGGGAGCAAGAACGGTGATTAGGTTTTCTATATTAATTAGTTACTTTGCTATATTAATTAGTTACTTTGCTATATTAATTAGTTACTTTGCTATATTAATTAGTTACTTTGCTATATTAATTAGTTACTTTTATTCTTCTGTAGTTGCTTGCCTTCTCGGCAAAGTGCTACTTAGATTATGTATGTGAACATACATATGCTGGACTCGTCTTACCTCTATACATTAAGTTTTCAACTCGTATTACCCATGCATCTACTTGAATAGTGATTAAAAGGGCCTATAATGGTGGTTTAGTTTTATGCTTCCTTCAGCACTCAGAAAAATTGGAGTTTTCCAGTTTCCAAAAATAACAGTGCGCAAAAGTTTGGGTTGTTGCTTAATTTTCATGCTTCAGTAACCTATATATACCGACTATGTTTTTATATATTATTTTACGCTTGGAATATGGTCCTTGAATGCTAGTAGACTCATTGTTTCAGTCATTAACGAATCAACAAGAATACTGAATTAAGTGAATTGATACTTTGTAGCGCATTTTCTCATTTATAGAAAAAATGCACTATTGTGCTCGCCATGTCCGTCTGTCCGTGACCTCAAGTTTTCGTCGACGAGAAAATGCGCTCTCTGTCACTCACTGCAGTGAGTACTGAGTTATATTTTTATATATTGAATATAATTAAAGAAAATTAAATGTAGTGAGAACTGATTATTGTCTGTACAGTATCTTTCAAGCGGATCGAGGAAAATACCAGACGAATTTTATTTTTAAATCTTTCAGCATGTGAAGGTTAAGGCTCCTTTGTCTTTACTTTGAATGTAATTTCAATGATTACGAGTATCGTATAAAACTATAAGGTTGTCGCGGTAAGTGCATTTCATTCATCCTAAAGTTGCTTTCATTTTTATAGTGTATGAAATTGGAGAAAACGAGAAATTTTGAAAATTTTATCTCTATATACGATAAACATTTAGAGCAATTACACTTGATTTCAATCTTATCTTTTCCTTGAGATTAAAACGTAGGTTTCCTCAGATGTTGCAATTTATTTTCAAAATTCATTTAGTATGTTTAAAGAAACGGAAGTCCTCCGAATTACATATACCTACCACAATACCACGACTAATGACTTTGCGAGCATTTTATCGGTAGGATAAGTTTTGAATAAATGCTTAAATATTTTTTTTTGCTTCTTCACAAGTGTTGATGCGATATGCATGGTGGCATTTATTACACGCGTTGCAAATGCTCTGGTTGTTGTGCGTCTCTATATACGTCATAAGCTGGAATTTCTAACTTTAAGTCTCGGTTATTTCACTCTCCGTATTGTGGTTTGATCGTCTGGTTAATAAATAATGAAGTTTACTGGGTTTTATTATCAGATTATGAAATTTACAGGTTTTACCGACACGTCAGAATTCGATTTTTTCTAGCATGAAGCACACCACCAATGTTTCTCATCACTATCAGTAATATCTGCTTGAATATTCCGAGCTCTACCAAATTTTGAATATATTCCTAGCTGAAATTCTGACATTTTAGTAGTAACAAAAACTCCTAGAGGGATTGTTCCTGAGCGCCACACCGCTGAGCTAGCTGTGTCTGACTGCAGGTTTCAGTTGTGGGGCTAAGTTATTATGGAGGTAGGATTTCTTACATTTCCCTTCTGTTTCTCTCTCGTGCGGGCGTTCTGTTCTTTTCACCTGTCCCTCCTTGTCACTTCGTCTCTTTGAGATGCTAACGCTGCTTCTTTCGCGCCAGCTTCAGCGGGCTGGACAACTTAGACCTTCCTCTCCTTGTGGGTAATGAACAATTTGAGACTCTGAATAATTGAGACCTTCCGCCTCGCTGGCGATGTCAACTTTTGACCTCCGGTGCGAAATAGCTTGAAAGCTGAAACGCTAGTAAACCATTCTACTACTTAGTAACAAAAACTTTAATTGTTTAATTTAAGTAATTGTGCCGTTGGCGTTCGTTAGGCCAAAACTAGCCTAATTCCAGGCTTGAAGGGCAAGTCCTATGAAGAAAGATTAAAGATTATGAAGCTTCCAAGCCTCAGTTATCGACGTCTGCGTGGCGACCTCACTGAAGTAGACAAGTATACTCATGGAGTCATGGTTTATAAAAGGTCCCAGAAGGATTACTAGAATTTGAAACAAGAACCAACACCATGGACCGCGGCTATAAACAAAAATATATAACTCAGTACTCACTGTAGTGAGTGACAGGGAGCGCATTTTCTCGGCGACGAAAACTTGAGGTCACGGACAGACGGACAGACAGACAGACGGACGGACATGGCGAGCACAATAGTGCATTTTTTCCATAAATGAGAAAATACGCTGAAAACTTCGCTGCAACTTCTCCACGCGACAAAACTTCTCGCTTCGAATCACCGACATGTGGAACAGCCTCCCCGATGACATCGTTGGCGCTCCAAGTATGAACGCGTTCAAGAACATCTTCTGGTGGATGAACCATTTTTCTACCATCTTTTTTGCCCGAGCTGTGACGATTAAACTGGAAGCGTTTGCGTGTTTTTTCGCGCACGCCCCCCATTTTCCAAATTCGCCGTGAACAAGGCACGAAAAGGAAAAGAATCTGCGACAGGCCACATCAGGCCTACACTGCAGCGCCGAGATCACTATGTTATGTTATAGTATTTTTTTCTGCCATATCAGTTACTTTCGACTCGTAACCCTAGAACAAAACTCGTTTCCTAAAAATTTACACCTCTCGGACAAAAACGCGGCCTGTCTCACGGCCGTGCCTCAAGAAATTCATCGTACATGGAATATCTTCCAAACTACTGAACCGATTTCAATGAAACTTGGTATACAGATTCCTGACCGCCTAAAGGTGATGTCTAGCCCGTCTGGATTTTCGCGATTTCGCCCGCGTTTCCGATTTATACGGTAATTCGGGTAAAAATACGCATCGTACATGGAATTTCTTCGACACTGAACCAATTTCAACATCGAAAACTGAACTCCTGTACGCTAGATTTCAGTCCTCTCAGCATGGCCTATTAATTTAGTTGGTCAGGTCTAAGACTTCCTACTCCTAATAAAAGTGCGATAATATTTATTCAAATCTTTCTTCCCTTTCTCTCGTTTCACTTCTTATTAATCTTCGGTAATCTTTCGGCGCAATAATAATCTAGGTCAACGTCCGACCCTCGGGCAATAGTGACTAAGTCGTACGTACGTCTATCCTAGTTTATTTTGTCGTGAATCTTCTCGTCTATACAGATTTACACCCTCGACGTTTGTCTCCTATTTCCACTTAGGGTCGACCATCTCGAATTGGGTCTTTCTCAAATTTTTGACGATCTACTTCGGATGAAGCCTTCCCGCCGCCTGCGTCACTCGCATGAGGCCGGAATAACTGCCACGAGACAAGCCATGTGGCCCCACCCGACTTTTACTGTATAGACAGCAAGCTATAATCATTGCAGCAAGCACTATTTCCTGGCGTAATTAACGCATTGTTTCGTAGCAAGGTCTACTCGCTGGCTTTTATCTGTAGGCAATTAATTAAAGCTAGGGATCCAAGCACAGATGCTTTTCAAGATTTACTTGCCAGTTGCCCGGCAGGATCCACGCAGTTGCCTGGCAGGATCCACACAATTGCCTGGCAGGATCCACACAGTTGCCTGGCAGGATCCACACAATTGCCTGGCAGGATCCACACAATTGCCTGGCAGGATCCACACAATTGCCTGGCAGGATCCACGCAGTTGCCTGGCAGGATCCACACAGTTGCCTGGCAGGATCCACACAGTTGCCTGGCAGGATCCACGCAGTTGCCTGGCAGGATCCACACAGTTGCCTGGCAGGATCCACACTGTTGCCTGGCAGGATCCACGCAGTTGCCTGGCAGGATCCACACTGTTGCTTGGTAGGATCCATGTACTCAGATCCCAGCAAGATCCAGATATTAGATCTTAAAATTGTGCTTATAATTTCATGTATATATATAACTTGTACACAGATTGACTGATTTCAAACCAATTAATTCTTATCAACATATAAACACCCTGTGGTGAATCTTTCAAAATCAAGTTAATTTAGTTCATAACTCAGCTCTGATAACGCAGCTTCAGTATCTCAGAGAACACTTGACGGGTATTTGGTGTAGGTACCGCTTGATGGGTATCTGGTACATAGCTTAGCAAGTTATATCCTGTTAACTGTCGACCACCTTCAAGGATTGGGTCAAATGCGGAGATAATGACCGTAACCATTCCCTGTTTTTAATTAATAAAATCAATTCCTTTTTTTTTTTTTGCTGGAATGGTGAGTGTGGGAGGCCTTAAAAAAATATGACCGTAGTATCCTATTTAAAAAAATTGCTTTGATCCTAGAACCACTTTTAAAAACAATTCTAATTGGAGGATTCAGTAATCAGATCCTTCAAGCCTGCTAGAAAGCCTTGAATTATCTCATGCTTAGATAACTAGAAGAGATACAAGGAATATTTCAACGGTTTCAAATCCCTCTGACTTGAAAACAGATACATAAGAAAACGAGGCACAGTCTTACTCGTAATATATTAATAACATTAAAGATGCTTACACTTTTCACTTTTGGTTAGTGATTAAACTTTTACGCACAACTCCATTATATTTTAACATCATGTAATTAAATAATAATAATGCACAGCTGTCTATCTTATGGAACTCACTGAGTTTATGCGAAAGAAATCGGAATTTAATCAGTTAGAATGGCTGAATACTGATTCCCAATAAGTATTTGCAATAAATCAATGTAATAATGCATTATTGCACGAAGTTCAAAAATATACCTGAATACTACTAACTTTTCATTTACATCCTACCTCATCTAACATCATTTTTGCCAAGCAACCTTAAGAAATAAAAATTTTCATGGATTCCATAGTTTGAAATTGAATTTTAATGATTGCTTAACAAGCGAGACGCCGAAATTTCTACCCATGTACCCATGAGCCATGCTTATCAAGCGTATATGGAATGAATAGAAAACTTCCTATTACACTAAATAGTCTAGGAAGTACCATCTTATACTCTCAACTTAAGGGAGAAAAACATCGCAATTCAACACTTGGGGTCAAAGGTAACGTTAACAATTTAGGTCCTAGGACAACAACAGCTCATTTACCGGTATCAACAGACATACATTTCATATTCTTCGTACTTGCTCTTACTTATACACCTCTATTAGAGCAAACATCAAAGACTTGTTTATCATAAAGATACAGTAAGTTATGCTGATTAGCTGATAATTACTAAAGTAAGAAGTTGTTTAATTCCTTTAGAGTTGCATATGAGGGAAAAAATGGTGAAAGTTATGCATGAATGAATTCGTGCTTATATTTTTACTGATAACTTGGCTCCGAGATTGGCACTATCTCCTTCAATTCCTGTGTAATCGTTGTTTTTCTTGTATACATTTCCGTGGCACTAAAGCCATACTCTGTAATTGTCGCGACATCTGACTTAGGCTCTGAACATTTTTTTCTCTACCCGCGTCGATCTTACCACCAGTTCGAGATTTGGTACCTTATTTTCTCGCTCATTATTTCTCAGACGAGCAAGAAGAAATAATCAAGAATAATCAGACAGTTTCTATTGCCAATATAAGGCAATACATATCAACCAATCATATCCACAACTAACGTTCATAAGGTAAACTTTGTCCACATTATTTTTTACATGGTACACATTTGTTCACCGTTTAATCCTCACCAGCAGGGATGGCATCCTCAAGTCTCTTAATAAACTTGACTCTGAGTTCCGTATTGTTATCGCCCCTGAGATGATCCGCAGTAAATGCAACCATCACCTCGACCTGCACCATTTCACACGCTCCTCTAATGGCCCCAGCTAATAGGTTGCTGTAGCGCAGTCCTGCGTAACTGTCGGGTAGTTCTACAAATTCTTCTAGAGGGTTCTGGTCCATTATGATTGAGAACTCGTCACCTGCGGGGCTCCAAGAACCAATAGTCACGTTCATGCCGAGATAAATCTTGAACGCTTGCTGGATCTTGTCGGCAGTGTCCCGTAAATCGTGACATCTGCCAGGGTTCGCCCTGCGGTGGTGAAATGAATAAATGAAATGCATAAAGTTTAAATCATATTCAATTCAAACTTGTGAAAAGAATCTTATTTGAACTTTCCATTAAATATCAAAGCTTTGAGGAGTTCATTTCATTAGTGAACAAGCAAATACAAAGTTTGATAACAAGTAGTAGTCCGACTTGAGCTCAACAAAGTTATGGTAGTTGCGAATCGGAACGGTTTTCTTTACTATTTAAAAATGAAGTTAACGAAATTTTTTTTCAAATTGTTTAAACTTGGCAAATAATTTTAATTTTCTTCAAAAGTATCAAAATGAACAATAATCAGAACCCAGCGTTAACTGCATAGTCACTTGGCAAGGAAATGAGACCGTGGGTTGGTTACCACAAGGTGGCTTGGTTGGTAGGAAAAGCAGAGCAAATTACTTTGAAAGGAAGTGGAAACATCGAGTTACCAAAGAGCAGTTCAAGTAACAACAGACCAAGTTACCTTGCCTTGCCACAAATAAAAAGAGCGCCTTATCAATGAATAATTCCCGCACAGCTCTAGAAGTTACCTGGCCAGGAAGTCTTCGATGAGACGCACGCCGAGGTCGTGGCCGAGTCTGTCGAGTTGCCTGTTGACGTCGTCGACGTTCTCGTAGTCGTTCATGACCTGCGCTACGAGCGCCCCATAGGTGATGCTTAGCAGCTCGCAACTTACCTTCTTCTGCTCGCCGGCCTTCAATGCGCTACGTGACATAGCTGCGGTGATTCAGATAACAAATAGTGTGGAGACTATTAAAGCGTTCTTAGTGTTAAAACTGAAACGGAAATCGTGGAGTCGGTTCAGTTGGCAGATATTGCGGACATTTAGAATGACATTGGAGGCTAGAACTGCATGCAAGTCGCATCGAGCTGTTCAACTTTCAATATCTATAGGACTTCGAGAATGGTCTCTGCTTAAACAGCAGCGGGCTATTTAGTTAACAAACTGCGGACACGTATATAACGTTATTTCGGTCCACATACTGCAATGCAAGTGGCAGTAAGCTTCTTGGTAAATGTATGTGGCTGAGGAAAGTAGGTCCTAATAACTGAAGAACGCTATAAGCTGCAATATACGTTGATAAAGTTCCGAAAATCGTCATGAGCTACATCCCACCTCACACTACGGTAAAAATAACAAAAGAACTTATAGTCCTTCCAAAAAAACTGCCATATAAATATGAAATAAAAATATATTGGAATGTAATGGACACAGCTAGCACTTTCCTTCCTGAATATGCAAACCGACATTGATGAATTTTAAACCTTCTCTACGTGTTACAGAATATATGAATGCTGGACATTAAACTAGTAAGGGTAACGTGAGAAGCTGCGTCTGGGTCAGAATGAAAATGTATAGGTTCTTATCTGCATGAGATAAGGACTGAATATTTTAATCCAGGCTCTTCATTACACGCTGGTAAGGAACTATTTTCGCATTATAAATATAATGACACATGTAATTTAATGTTGCAATCTTCCCATCAACAAACAATATGTGGAGTTGAGACAAGTAAACAAACGAGATTTTTCTATCAACTTGACAATTATTTTGACTAGAGGACCGGGGGGTCGTCTTAGCCCCAACAGACACGTCTGCCTCCTGCGGTTTCAAGTCTACATCAATACTTCATAAATTAGAATAAACTACACTTCCTGAATTAGGAATGCTGGACTCAGAGGGATGAGTGACTTCTTGCCCATATGTTAATCATCTTAAGGTAAAGAACGTATTAGTGCTACAGTCGCTCTATGCTCGAGCTGCGGGCAAGAAAGTGTCATTGTAAGGACAATATGACGCTTTTATTTTTCCGAGATAAAATATGCAAACGACGCGGCCAGGGAGATAGTTCAACTCTACACAAACTTGAGAAGAACAATCTTCTCTGGGATAGATAAAGCAGGGACATGAATGAGCCAAAGATACGAGATGAGGTAATACATAAGGGAAGAAAGGCTAAAAGATATGCAAGTTCAGTGGCTCAGTCCAATACTGCCTGTTTTGCAGAGAAACTGGCAAAAGTATTACTACGCTATCTCTACACACACTGTAACACACACTCTAGGGGAAAAAATCAACAAGTTGACATTGAAGGGTTTCACTACAGGATCCTAATTTTCTATCACATATACATTTTAAACAAAAGAACCCATTCATTCTGTCTCCAAACAAAAATTAAGCATTAAAACTGCAATTCTCAAGTGCTTGGGCTACTCGTGAGAGGCGGCAATGAGGGTCTCAGCCCTACGCAACAGGTCTGCGTCTGTGGTCTGCAGAGCCCATTGATGCTGGGCTATCTCCAGGGCCTCCCATTCTGCCTTGAACGCCCCCTTCGGGTCTGGGGGCATCCCTGCGGCACCCATCGACATTTGCTCCTCCATCATCTTGGCTTGGTCGGCAGCTGCACAATATAGAATGATAGTTCAATTGTCTACAAATAGACAAGCATAGTATCACAGCTGCTAGATATAGAATGATAGTTCAATTGTCTACAAACAGACAAGCATAGTATCACAGCTGCAAGATATAAAATGATAGTTCAATTGTCTACAAATAGACAAGCATAGTATCACAGCTGCAAGATATAGAATGATAGTTCAATTGTCTACAAACAGACAAACATAGTATCACAGCTGCTAGATATAGAATGATAGTTCAATTGTCTACAAATAGACAAGCATAGTATCACAGCTGCTAGATATAGAATGATAGTTCAATTGTCTACAAACAGACAAGCATAGTATCACAGCTGCAAGATATAGAATGATAGTTCAATTGTCTACGAATAGACAAGCATAATGTCACAGCTGCAAGATATAGAATGATACGTAGTTCAATTGTCTACAAATTGACAAGCACAGCGCCACAGATGCAAGAGAAAGAATAATAGTTCAATTCAAATAGTTCAAGGAAATGTGCCCTAACAGCTTCTATATATTTTTGATGCCAAGCTTTGAACAAGAACAAAACAACGGATCTCTTCTGATCGTCATACAATAGTTTTATCATCACATGCGGGATAACGGGATTAAAAAATTGCAGGTACTATTGATCCTAGGCAACACCTGGCTAACCTGCTAGTTCATAATACCAGCTATCAAAACCCTAACAGTGGCTCACCATTGTTTTCACCCAGCACAAGAGTATAAATGGAGCGCAGACCAAAGACGTTAAGGAAGTACCAAGATGCTGAAGACACCCAGGAAGCATCCAGAGTGTAGAGCTCAATGCCCCGCTGCAGCATGGGCTTGAACCGCAGAGTCAGCGGGAATGGCACTTTGGCTGCAACAAAAAATAGAGGGTAAAGACTATGTCAAGAATATCATGTGCATAGACTTCAAGCATCATACTTTGTTTACTTTTTGATTCCAAGCATACTTCTGTCTAGAATAACCACGTTCAGAATATCATGGGTCTTGACCTCAAGCATCACATTAACTTTTGTGGTGATTATACCAGATCACCACTTTTTTCGCCAACTATTTTCTTGCAAGTAACTTCATTTTCAGTTGATAAGATGGATTTACAGACGTATCATACTGTATCATATATCGATGAAATAAACCATTTTATCATTATAATACAAATAAATTCATTATACAAGTATAAGAGTGGTCCAATGCTATGATAAGATAAGTTTTATTTACTTGCACCTGGAACATTCTCGTATTAGAGGAGGCTTGTTGAAAGAAAGAACAATTTATATGTGCGTGCCAACTAACAAGTGTGAGCTTTCCCACAAGAGTTCTTGAAGTGACACACTAGAAAATTTGATTTATAATTGAAAAATGAAAATAAATTGCAGCAACTAATTCAATGAACACAACTTTCCTACACTTGGTTTGTGTGGTAATCCCACTCTAGATCTATTATTCTACTCTCCAGGCTTTGAGGAGGAATAGTTTGGGAGCAATATTATGGAAGGAATCACAGCTTTCCCAGGTGCATACAACATAGCTGGGTGAATGAACAAAAACATTACTTGCTTTAAAATGTAATGGTTTTGCAAATATTTGGTGCTCAGCATAATGAAAATGAGTTCAATAAGGCAAGACAACTGCATTTATTTATTGTCACATTTTATCCAACCTATTGAATTGTCAAACTGTCAACAATTGCTGCACCTAAAGATGACTTGTTTTGGCTGCAACTCATTTCAAAATCACATTTCTTGACAAGAAACTTGAAGGAATTATTGGAAAGAAAACCAAAACTGTATTTATTGAATCTCAGTGAAGATTTTGCTGCACTACCTGTATTTTCTGATATCTAAGATGGCTCATTCATTATCAGATTTCTCTGTTCAAGTACCTTGCCACTGTGCATTTCTTAGAAGGTGTGAGCTGAATATTTTTGAGTCATTTATCTGCCATAATTCCAGGCTGCTGCAGCAAACATGTGGACAGGATGCAATGCCAAGTACAATTTGATTGATATGACTTCAATCATCAAAATTCATCTAGGCCAGAGCTGAAAAAAATTCAATATTGTCAGCAGACTTACTTGTGACAAAACCAGAGAAGGTCCAGTTGATCCAGCCACCAATAGCAATCATAGGTAACACATTAGTGACGTTACCCTTCAACATCTCAGCCATGACAGTTGGGTCAGTCATGGCCTGAGGTGCTGCAGGACGCTTGGTTGTTGTCAGGTAACCTGCTTGGCAAATAAATCATGAGCAAAGGATGCATTTCAAAATAATGAAGCAGATAAAGATAATTATCAGTAAATTGTAAATAGGACACAACTCAATAGGGTATCGCATAAAATCAAGGTAGGACAAATTAGGTTTTTGCAACACTTCCAAGTTATTAGATGAATAATTAATTAGAATGCCAACTTACCAGTTTCTTCATTGTTGAAAAAATCTCTCCTGGCATAAAATGACTGCTTTGGTAGATACTTCCCATTTTCTCTGAGCATACGAGACCGCAATAGTACCTGACTGAAAGAATGTTAAAGAAAGGCTTGCATAACCGGCTGTTACAGTGATTTTAATTTGATAACTTTATACTTACACGACACTTTCAAATATTCAAGCATTTATATAAGATATTTATGCAATTAAATTTGTATAACATATATAGAAATAATAAAAATACAATGCTACCTATCAAAATGGCATTTTTTCAGAATTTCACCTGTCTTGAAGCTGTGTCAGGTCCACTTTCTTTTGTGAAGATATCAACACACTTAAGTAATGTCGAACAATTCCGACAAAGAATGTCACCAGACCAATGGGGAAGAAAACCCACAGGCGGATATCAGAATCCAACAGTAGTTCAGGTTCTGACATTTCTAATGTTATATGAATATATAATATTACATGAATATATAATTATACTTGAATATATGATTCAAACTTTTTATTTAGAATCTTTGATGTACCAGGAGAGTTAAAGTGTATAAAAAGCAATCACAGAAATGCTAAGTAAATAATCATACATTAGCCTTAGGTAGATCAAATCAATGATCAATCTGTGGAAGAAAATGACATAGGGTAAACGCGGTATATTCCGACATCGTGGGTAATTCTGACACTTATCAACTTTTTTCCTTTATATTAAGCTTTTTCTTAGTTCCATGCAATTGTTGATAGTTGAAATAGTGACATCATACTTTTGCGTGCCATACTATTGCCAAAACACTAGGTCTGGGCCGTCTGGTGGGAAAATGTTGAAATCCAAAGAGAGACGGTGCACATCACCCAGTGAGAACATTGAAAAACGTGCTTAAGTTGATAGTTGACCTTGCTCTACCAAATAGTGATAAACTGTTTGTGTAGAAAGAATATTATGGTTTGAGACTTTTAAATACTTCTGTGAATATATTAGGAATCCTTCAAGTATACTTGTATTTGCTGATTTCAAGTGGTAAAAATATTAATAGATGATTAAGTTAGACACATAAAAAACTCTGCATGCTTTGAGCCTTTGACGTTTGAAGCATGCACTCTGCATGCTTCAAACGTTTTAAAATTAACTTTTATTGCAAGTGTCCTGGATTACCCCGTTCCCAGGGGTAAATTGGGACAGTTTTATTTTGCATCTGGCACCTTACGAATAGCATATAGAATTTTTTTGAAGATGCCATTGGATAGCCCTTGCAAAGAGCTATAAAATGAGCCTAAACTTGTTTCTGAAATGTTTCATGGTATGAAGTTATTAACAAAAAACGCTCAAAACTGTCCCTTTTTACCCCGTTTGATGGTGAATATGGCAACATTTTGTGACGTTTCATTGTTGCTGGCACATAGTGCTGTGTTTTGAGTGATGTAAAGCAAACAGAACTCCAGTTGCACATACAGTGTATTTTTTATAGCCATTCATTTTTTGCTACATCCCTAAAGTATTGGAATATACTGCGTTTACCCTACAACTTACTGATAAAGAGACCAAGAAAAATGATAATAATTGCTACTAGCCTAATAGGCTAATAATAGTAATAATAGCAGTTTCAGCGTTTATTAGGCCATAGGCCTGTTGCCGATTCATAACATTGCAGAACATTCATAGCATTTTGCGGTCTCAAACTCACAACTCACTGGCCTGCTACAATTCTGCTGTGCTGTGTGTACCATTCAAATTTCAAAATATTCTTGTGGGAAAATATAGGGAAATCAACAAATAGGACCTACCTAGGAGGTCACATTGAGGCTGAAGCAATTATAAAAATCAGTTAAATTATTAAAAACAATTCAATCTTGGTACTCTCAACTCTATTCTGTAATGGATACTAATCCATGGAACACCTTGTCATCTACAATGTGGCTGGGATTTTCATCATTATGTATTATTATATTGCTATTACCTTATCCTAGTTGGGACTTGGAATGCATGCATTTAGCTACTCATTAACAAGCAGAACAGCTCACAGACCTCACTTATCTAAGGTTCAAATATGATAGGTACGGTAAGGTACCTAGCCTATGTTCATATGACATATCAGTATACTTCTACCGAAACTGCAAGAAAAATGCCTTCTTATGCATAATGCACCTATAAATGAATGTTATTGTAATATACCTATCTGTGAAAAGCTGCAATTTCTTGTTGGGTTGTTTGTTCTGTAGTAATAATAGCAGTTTCAGCGTTTATTAGGCCATAGGCCTGTTGCCGATTCATAACATTGCAGAACATTCATAGCATTTTGCGGTCTGTTCCATTTTAACAAATACTAGCAATCAATATTCAATACCTTATACCAAACCAAGGCACTAACAGGTAATAGACTAATAGTGACATTCACTGTCACTATTAAAAATGTGAATAAATTAACATCAAAATGTGAATAAATGTTCAGTCGCCAAAGAAACACAATCTTCCAGTGATATTATTAATCTTGTCTTCTTTGATGAGTTATCGGTGTGCTGCGCTGATATTCTTAAGTATTGAAGTCATTACTTATAGCCATTTGTACTATCATCACATTTTCCAAATTTACCCTTTTTCCCTAATTTAACTTACGGTACAGACGTAATACTCCCCCCGTGACCAGCTGACAGACAGCATCAGACTCAGACAGGCAAATGAGGCAATACTAGACAGAGGAGCAGGGTTGCCAGATGGAGCCAAGAGAAAAAGGCCAATTTGACTCACAAAAAAGGCCCAAAAAGGCCCTATTTGAAATTAATAGAAAATTTCTAAATTTAAGGTAGTTCTAACCATTTGCAGTGCATGCATTTACTCTCAAGGCTTTCAGACAGTAAAAAATACACCAATTTCATCACGTGTATTAGCTGAATTACCGTCAATGCTACATAAGCCGTCAGCCTGCAGCGAATTGCACGTTACTCGCCGACCGTAAATAAAACCGTATAATACATTATATTGAGGATTCAATTGCCACCTAACAACCATAAAGCTTTTCGTTCGCGTTAGAGAGTTTGGGCTCAGTTTTGCTAACAAAATAGATAGTAAAGAGGTAGGCGAGTAAGCGACATAAGTGATGTTGGCGGGGAGCGCAGCCGTGCACCACCAATTTTGTGCACCAATAAGCCCTGAATCGAACGCCTTGGATATCTCCGGACATCCACCAATCAGCCGTGAACCACTCGGCTTTGTCTTCCTCCGGCCTCGCATAGAACCTGCCGTGCACCACCAGGCCGCGGATCGAATCTGACTTCCGGGCATCGTTAAATTACGTAATTTTACGT